ACCTTACACTGAAGTAAAACACCTAATGAACCTTATTTCATAACTGGATATGGTTCATTAGTATCTTTGAATTTGTTATACATAATGCAAGTTACTTTATCAGTTGAATAAAGGATTGACATTTAATAAATGAACTTAGTTCTTTTCTTTTAAGGATTAGGATTAAGAAAACATTTATATTTAGATGTAGTTTTGATGTTCAATGATGATATATATATATATATATATATTCTTGTATTTATTTTCTAGGTTCAAAATACTCAATTTTTTAAGTGGTAGCAATTAGTTATTGATTTAGGGTAAATTCTCCTAGCTCCATTACTCTTTAAAAATTGTTACTTGTGTATCTATTCCTTCCATAAGTTACAACATAAATAGGAAAAAAATTATTCAAGTTGCATTTGGTCTTTCGGTATCAGTGAAGTAAATAGCAAAGGTATATATTTGAATAATATGACAAATATTGAGTGCAAAAACTGTTTGTTGTCAGGAAGGAATAGATGTTCCTGCATGTTTGCAGGAAGCATTGGCACGAAAAGAACTAGACATGAGGGTGGCTGCCCTGGTAAGGACGTTCTTTCTTTGTCTTAAGGCTATGATTCATTTTGCATTTTTCTGCTTTGTTACCATCAAAATTTATGCTTCTATTTGTTGTCATTGTCATGCAAGTGGGGTCAATTTCCCATATCATTCTTCCTTTAATAATTTAGATTGTTCTATGATATATTCTTATAGAATGTCAGAATTTTGCAAACTGTTACCATTATGTTTATCTCCATGCTGCCTCTCTTCTGGAAGTTTTACTAACTATTCCTGCATGACTTTGTTTAGTGATGAGGAAATTATATATTATTGCATCTCAAAGTTGTTATTGTCGTTATTGTACTGCTTTCTATTGTTGCATTTACTCTTTTTTTTCTTCCTAAACACCACTCTTTTTTTTCTAAACACCAAGCATTCTGTTTTAATTTAGAGGATATGATTTTTAAGTCCCTAATTTTATATTAGGAACAGAGAGTACTGTCATGTATAATAAATCCTTTAGGTTTCATTGCATTGCTTAAAACATGATTTTATGATAATTTTAATCAGGTCAATGACACTGTTGGAACATTAGCTCTCGGCCACTATCATGACTCAGATACTGTTGCTTCTGTAATAATTGGCACTGGTACCAATGCTTGCTATTTGGAAAGGGTTGATGGTATCATCAAGTGTCAAGGTCTTCTTACAACCTCAGGATACATGGTATTGCTCCTGTTTTTTCTTTTCACTTTTAGTTATTGTCTATTGTTGAGAACTGATTATAACTCCTGTTTATTAGGTTGTAAATATGGAATGGGGAAACTTTTGGTCGTCTCATTTGCCAAGAACATCCTATGATATTGATTTAGATTCCGAAAGCCCTAATCCAAATGATCAGGTTAGGTTCTGCTGTTCATTAATCCTGTTGCTTGATTTAAGATGACTCAGATTTTGGAGATCTTGATGTAGGGTTTTGAGAAAATGATATCAGGAATGTATCTTGGTGACATTGTGAGGAGAGTCATTCTCAGGATGTTGCTAGAGTCAGATATTCTTGGACCTATTTCTTCCAAGCTTTCAATGCCTTTCATACTGAGGTGTGTACTGAATCTCAGTCATGCACTGTGAATATGTAGACAGACTAACAGCCGAACAGGAATGTATATATTATTCAACATTGCTATGGATATCCATCTTTGTTTGATCAACTATGCTGATTATAAATGAATCCTATTTTGATTTTCTATTAGAAGTTAGGATTTCATTTATTTATAACCAATTTTAGTGCCTCATACATGGTTGATCAATTATTTCCTTGTGTCATATTTCAGGACTCCTATGATGGCAGCCATGCACGAGGATGATTCTCCTGACTTGAGAGAAGTAGCAAGGATCCTTAAAGACATCCTTGAGGTAAAAAAAGTCTGACCCCATATCTTTTGTCCTCAAATGCCTGTTAAGTCTAACAACCATCCCTTATGTTTGGCTTGTGCTGTCTCAGATTCCTCAAGTTCCTTTGAAGTTAAGAAAAGTTGTGGTGAAGGTGTGTGACGTGGTGACTCGCAGAGCTGCGCGATTGGCAGCTGCTGGTATTGTTGGCATCTTGAAGAAGATTGGTAGGGATGGAAGTGGTGGCATTACAGGTGGTGGACGTCGAAGTGATGTGAAAATGAAAAGAACAGTTGTGGCAGTTGAAGGAGGTTTATATTCTGGCTACACATTGTTTAGAGAGTACTTGCATGAAGCTTTGAATGAAATATTGGGGGAAGATATTGCTAAGCATGTGATACTTAAGGTCACTGAAGATGGATCGGGCATTGGAGCAGCACTGCTTGCTGCCTCGCATTCATCTTATAATGTGGATACAGCAAAGATGCTATAAGTATATATATATTTTATATGTATACGTATAATCCTGTAAATCAGAAAGGAATATTTCCCTCTTTTCAATATCTGTATTCTGTATAAAGGAGGTTGTCTATTCTTTGTTAAGATCATTAATATTAATATTATTCTTGTCAATTTTTTTATTCACTGAATAGTATTAGGAAGTCTTCAATGTATTAATTTCTTGTCAAGTTTGGACATGACACAATTGGATTAAGAAATCTTTAATTTGGTTAAAGAAAATTATTTATTACAGTACTTTGTGTAATTATTATTCTTTAAGTAGTGTGCATTATCTTCTTAAAAAAAAAAAAATAATGAGACTGGTGAAAAAAATTTGTTTATATTTTGAAAATTAAAAATTGATCAAAATAATATAGTACTTATAATGTATTTTAAAATGATTTTTTGATCCATTTTTTGAATAAGAATATGAATCAATTTTTTGTGACACGAACATAACCATCCTAGTTAGTCCATCTGACCTTGTGTTCATTTTTATCTGCATGCTACGAAAGGTAATGTTTGAACTTTGGATCGTTTTCCTTTCATCTATTTTTCGAAAATGGATCCTCTCCCATTGCCACCATTTTCGTCAAATTTTCAAGAGAAAATGCATTGACTTGAGAAATTCTTCCAATAAACAAATTCCAACAGCATGTTTGTCTCTCCATTATGGAAATGAAACTCGATTCGATTTTCGAAACAAGATAAACAGCTGAATTTGAGTTTGACACGAAATAAGGGACACATTGAATGATAGTAGATTATTACATTATTTGGATCAGAGGTAAAAGATTACAGCGAGTGCAAATAATGGTGAAATCAACTCAAAAACAATTAATTATTGCTTTAAAAATCTATTCTGCAAGTTACCAAACATAACATGCACTTTTACTTGAATGAAAATCTATTTTGCATGCATTGATGTCTACAACATCCCCATCATATCATGTTTTACACAATAAGAAAAACTCATGTCTAGGAACTAATAGGCTATATCGTATCATATTAGAGTTTGGCCGAATTTAACTTCAAAACTAGCTTAGTTACGAGGGCATTAACTATATTTCTGATTAATGTAATATTGCAAAACATTTTAGTTAATTTAGTTTGGTTAATTAATTTTTAATAACAAATAATTGGTTTATATATTGGACGTGTAATCTTTAAAAAATCGTAATCAAATTATCTTCTGAGCTAAAATCCGTCAGTAATTAATTATTAATATAAAAACCATAATTAATTATATGTAAGAGTTTCTTTAATTTTTAGCCTTTTATTAATTTTTGTTCTCAATTATTTTTTCTCTTTTGATTTATACTTATTATTTCATTAAGTATATCTGCATCCACAATTTTAGTTAAATTTTAAAGGTATTTTTTTATTCATCAAAATCATATTAACCGTATCAAAATTTGAACCTAAAATTACGTGATTTCTACCATTAATCTGACCTTAGTTCTAATAACATTTTTATATTATTATTAGTTGAAATTTATATCACTAAAACTTACATAATTATGTAATTTTTCATGAATTTTAACTAATAATAATTTGTTAGAAAATATATCGCATTTTTCTAAATATCCTCTCAGCACATACTGAGGAAGATCCATTCATGTTTTAAGCCTAAAAAACATCATTTTCTTCTACTTTTTCAATTAATTTTTTGAAACCGTCATGTTTGTCATAGAATGTGACTTTTTAGAATAATTTCTCCTAGAATGTGATTGTATAATGCTTGATGCGTTTGGTGGTGCAAGCAATGGCAATGCCCTCGCAATTTTTTCAGTGTGCCTGCCAATTGATAGAGTCTATTGGCCACGCTCGAATTTTCAAAAAAAAGCTATTTTTTATTTTTTTATCGCCTTATTTTTCTAAACTTTCTTTTAATGATACATATAACTATCTTTTGAATTTTGCTCTAAAATTTAGTGTGCTGTCTTTTCATGATTTTAGAGTGTTGCTCATAAAATCTAAGTCAATTCTGAGTTAATAGAAAAAAGTGAATTCATGGGTGAAAATAATAGGAGGGAAAAGATTATAACGTTAAGTTAATAGAAATGATAATTAAGAAATATGGTATGAATAAAAAAAGATAACGAAGCTATTTAATTTAGGCAACAACGTGGAGACTGGAGGATATGCAAATGACAGAAAAATCCTATTTTAAGTTTTAAACTTTTAATTATTCCTGTTTTAAAACTTTTCAAACATACAACGACAATTTAGTGAATACCTTCCCATGAATAAAAAAAAAATCGTACAAAGGTTGAGATAAACTTATAACAAGTTTTGGAAGGATTTTTAATTTGAAAATTGTAATAGTTTAATAGTCATGAGTAAAGTTTTACAATTATCGCTTGTAATTGTAAAAGAATTTTAGCATTTTTAAATAAGTTTTTCATGATAGTTTATGAAAATAATTTTACAACTTCTATGAAAATAAATAATTATGTATTTTTTTATGATTGTTAAACTCATGTTTAATACCCCTCCTATACCCGGTAGAGACCTAGTTGGTTTGGGCTGATGAACGAAAATTAATAACATAAATTCACAAAGAGAATTGACTGAAAAACAAATCCTTCAACTTTCACTTTGATTTGTAAAGAAGATAAACAATGGTTCGTAATTGTAAGAAAAAATAAAGCAGGCCCATCATAAAAGGACACCTAAAAATAAGTATGGCTTCAATCCTTTCTCTTCTCCGAAGCAGACAGGAATGGACCTTATCTCTCTCAACATTCATCAATTTGCAGATTTGTACAACTTCTCCACCATCTTCCTGTACTCTGTACAACACATCACAAACCTATATTAGTTTTAGCCCTTTAAGAATTCAAAATCCTCACCAATTATATTTTAAAGATGAAGCATGTATTAATGTGTGTTACCTTCTTGATTGCTCCAAAGCTGTGCTGCTTGTGGATTTAGTGGTGAACTAATGTTTGGCTCTAAATTATGAAGAGAAAAAAAAAAGTGAGAACAAAAAAATAACAGGGGAGAACATTATTCATAAAGAGAATTTTCAAGTTATTACCTCCAAGCAGACTTTGGATAGATAGAAGAATTGTTCTGACATCATAAGCAGATGACCATTTATCCTATAAATAAACGAAAATCCCTAATATCAGAATATTACAGTGTGGCAATGTAAGAACTAAAAACAAAATTAATTAATATATGATCAACAAAATAAAAATGTCACATCACATCACATTACCTGGAGTATGTCCAAGCATATATTGCCATGCACATCCACATTGGGGTGGAAGCATGTTGTTTCAAACTTGACTTTTGGAGACTTAAAAGGGTAATCATTGGGAAATGAGAGGGACAGCTTATACTCTGTGCCTTCAAACACTGTATCTTTGCTTCCTGTTATTGTTCCTTTCCAGAAGAATATGTTGTCCTCCTCAGGAAATGCAGATATTCCAGAATCTCCACTCATCTAAATATCAACCCACAAAACAAAAAAAATAATTAAAAAAAATGAATTTTTTTCTTACAATTAGACAAAACAAATTAAATCATTCATTGAAATGAATATGCTAAAGCCAATTGTATATCTTTCTTAATTACCATCAAAGCCATCAATTCAGATTGCAACCTGTTTAACAACACAAAACAAAAAACGAATTAGACATGAAAAAAAAATCATAAAAGAGAGAAAACTATGTGATTATAAGAATTAAAAACCTTCTGAGAACAGATTGAGAATCAACAGTCTTGGCAGGAGGGAGAGGCTGCTTTGTGGAAGCAATGATATTGGGTTGAGCAGTTTCAGTAGTGTTCCCATTAATGGTATTAGTGGTGGCCATGTGGTATGATTAAAAAAATTTGATTTTCAGAGAGAATGTGAAGAAGGAAGTGATCTTTAATCTTAATCTTCCTTCTTTGCAAAAGGTGGAGAAGAAGAAGAATGGTGAATGAGAATGAGAAAAAGTGTGACTTAAAAGGTTGTGCTAGCCGTTGAGGAAATCAACAACTCAAATTGCTGAATGATTTAAATAATATGAACGTTAGAAGAGAAGGGACACACAAGGTAACAACGCAACGGCTAATTGTCACAAAAGACTTTGCCACTTCAAAGACGCCCTCCTCCAACCCTACTTTGCTTTCCTTTTGGATCTACATTATTTTTTTATTATTATTTTATACAACACATATTTTATATTTTCTCTGAACTGATCACATATTATATTAATTGGTTGTCAGCGTACAACTACTCTATATTATCGCAATGTTTTTTTTAATTAAAAAAATTTGATAAAGGAAACAAGAGAAAAGGGAAAATAAATAGATTTAATAATAATTAATTTATTAATTTAATTAATGTAAAAGTTTTTCTCTTCTCCAAATTTCTTCATTGGATGCCTGTCAAAATTGAGTAAGGTAAAATCTTTTTTTTTTTCCCTATTTTTTCCTTTCATAAAAAAAAAATTATAAAAAAATCTTTTGAATATCTTTTGCATTATTCTCTAACATTTAAGTCATATCAGCAAAAAAATTAAATCTATTTTTTTTAACACATGTTAAAATTATGTGTTAAATTGGTCTAATCATTAATATTTCATAAATTTTTCAACATTTAATATATATGACATTTAATGATGTTAAAATATTAAATTATATAGTAATTAATTAAACTAATCTATCTCGATAAAAAAAAGTAAGTAAAATTTTGACTAAAAATTATATTTGTCAAAGATTGAATTTAGTCCATGTTCAAACGATTTAACCTAAACTCAACTAATTATTCTATCAATTATTAAATTTTATTAATTTAATTATTGAATTACAATTAGATGTAAATTTTGTCAAAATTAAACAATGATAAAATGTTAATAAAATTACATATCTTTTTTAAAATTTTAAAATGATATATTTTATTAATTTTGAATGATAAATGATATGTCAAAATAATTTTTATCAAATATTTATAAATAAAATTTACAATATAAAAATGAGTTCTTGAAAAAGAATATAGTATAAAAGAAAGTTTGTTATATAAACAGATATTTTTGCATCATCACATTAATTTGTATCTTGTTGAAATAATGTTGAATTATTTTATTTTATTTTTAAATTATAAAATACATAATTAAAATAATTCAAGTGGTAAAAAGTACCTCTCTTTACTTAAAAGATGAAAATGACTAAGTTAGATTTTAAATATATAAGTCGATGTATTTTATAAAATTAAAGTATAAATTTAATTAATTAGCCTATTTTTTTAAGGGACGTTTAAAACAAATTTTACATTAAAATGTTAAATAAGTAAATAAACTTTCTTTTAACTAAATAAACAAAATTATTTACGTGTGTGAAACTTTTTAAATTTATGATATTTTTTTATATATTATTATTGTTATAATTAAAAATTAGAATTTAAAATAAAAAATTAAAACTAAAGTAAGAAAAAAACAACTTATACATACCTCTATATATATATATATTAATGTACATCCATGCACAATTTTATTCAAAAGAAAAATTTTTCTAAATATTTCATATCTTATTTAAAATATTTTAAATAATCAAACATAAAGATGAAAGAAAAGAACATATAAAATATTTAAGTAAAACATTTTTTATTATAAATTTATTTATTTAATTATATT